TGAACCTCCTTTCCCAGTGCTGGATCCCCTTTCCCAGTGCTGAACCTTTCCCAGTGCTGGATCCCCCTTCCCAGTGCTGGTTCCCCTTTCCCACAGCTGGATCCCCTTTCCCACAGCTGGATTCCCTTTCCCAGTGCTGGATCCCCTTTCCCAGTGCTGGATCCCCTTTCCCAGTGCTGGATTCCCTTTCCCAGAGCTGAACTTCCTTTCCCAGTGCTGAACCTCCTTTCCCAGTGCTGGATTCCCTTTCCCAGTGCTGGATCCCCTCTCCCAGTGCTGGACCTCCTTTCCCAGTGCAGGATCCCCTTTCCCAGTGCTGGATCCCCTCTCCCAGTGCTGGACCTCCTTTCCCAGTGCTGGACCCCCCTTCCCAGTGCTGGTTCCCCTTTCCCACAGCTGGATCCCCTTTCCCAGTGCTGGATTCCCTTTCCCAGTGCTGGATCCCCTTTCCCAGTGCTGGATCCCCTCTCCCAGTGCTGGATCCCCTCTCCCAGTGCTGGATCCCCTCTCCCAGTGCTGGATTCCCTTTCCCAGAGCTGAACTTCCTTTCCCAGTGCTGAACCTCCTTTCCCAGTGCTGGATCCCCTTTCCCAGTGCTGGATCCCCTTTCCCAGTGCTGGATCCCCTCTCCCAGTGCTGGATCCCCTTTCCCAGTGCTCTTCCTGGGAGCACAAGCTTTGCCAACACCTGGCTCTGCACAGGGAACAAGATAAAAGGGAGGGGGGGGAAAAAACTCTCTGGAATTTTCAAGCTTCAGCTCTAGATGGAGCATTTCCCTCGTGGCAGCGTGTGCCGAGCAGGAAGGGTTTGCACCAAAGGCAAGGTGGGGATTTCCCATTCCCCTGGGCTAAATTTCCAACCCAAAAGCTGAGTTTAGGCAATGTGGGAACCCTCAGGAGCTGTGGGTTTGAGGGGGGGGTTTGTATTCCATCACTTCTCTCTCCTCCCCTCCCGGCTGAGTCAGCTGCTGGAGGAAAAAGGAACAGAAGAACTGCTTAAGGTGTTCAACTTTCCCTCAAAAGGAGCCAAACCAACCCCTTCCTGAAGTCCAGGAATTCTCCAGGTGGAGGAGAAGCTTGCAGGGTTTGATCCTCAGAGAACATCAGCTGAAAAGTCTGGATTCAGAGAGATTTCTGCTCTCCAGAGGGATTTATCCTGACAGAGAGCTGACTCCTGTTTGGCCTGTGTATCCTGGAGGGGCTGGAGCAGGGATCAGACCCTCCCTCCACTCTGTTTTGGGATGACAGGTTATCATGGCAGCTCTGAGCTCATCTGAAATTCTAAATCCATTAGGAATTTAAATATACAACCCCCTAAATCTCCCAGGTAAAGGGAAGGGGGGGGGCCTGGCTGGTCTTAGAGAGCAATTCCCACTTCTAGGAGATCCACATCTGGACATTTAAATGCTCTTTATTTATTCCTGTAATTCATGCTCATATATTAATGAGCAAACCATGACCACGGGTCTGTTGGTGCCCAGTGATCCCTAATCCAGCTGCTCCCAAACCCTTTTTTCTCTGGAACAAAGCGACTGGGTGGCTCCAGATAACTTTTCCTACAGCTCCAGGGAGGGAAGGAGGGTGGTAACTCTCTCCTGGGGCGTCCCAGGAGTCGGTGGAAGGTGGGATGTTGGAGTGTTGGGAAAAAAAGGTCCACCTGAGGCACCACCTCTGCCATTCCCAGAGTCCTGGGAAGGTGTATCCACACAACACTTGGATTTCCTTGACCACCCAAAACCCCAGGCTGTCCAGCCAAAAAAAAAAAGGCACTTGGCTTTAAGGAATTGCAGATATCTCTCTCCCAAAAAAAAAAAAAAAAAAAAGGGATGCTCAGGAAAAACAGCTCAGGATTGAAGCACAGGAACCTCACGTCTCTCAGGACACGTGGATGTCTGGCCCTGGCAGCACCCTGGGATTTATGGAGCGTGAAAGGCAGGGGGAGAGAGAAAGAGAGGCTGAAGTCTCCTCAAGGAGAGGCAGGTGGAGGAAGGATAAATCCAGCCTGGCTCCGTGCCCAGAGAGCAACATCAACAATCCTGCCCAGGTACTTGAAGGTCTGATCTTTTGCCTGACCACTTCCTGAGCTGGGTTGTTTGGTTTGGGGTTTGTGTTTTCTTTTTTTAATGGATGAAAAGAAAATGAAGCTTTTTGCCTAAATAAAAAGCTTAATATTATTATTATTATTCCAGCAAATCTCCTCTTAAGGGAGAAGGAAAAACATAAACAGCAGCCGTTTCCTGTGACCCTGCGGGGACTGGAATCCGTAGGAAGCACTGAGGGACGTAAATATTTCTAATAAAGGAGTTTTGGAAGTTCACAAATCCTTCCTGCTGCCAAGTTTTGTCTGGATACTCTGAATTGGAAGGAAGAAGACCCACAGATAACCCACAGTGACACCGGCTCTCACGTGGAGGAATTTTCCTTATACACATAAAAAGATGTTAAATATTTAAATTTTAACTGGAGAGAGTATTTGCTCTTCATCTTTTCCTCAGGAAGAATTCCTAAGTGGTTTCTGTAGCCAGATATCCCACTGTGTGTCCTGGTATTCCCTTGCCTTGGGAAGGATTTAATTCCCACTGATATTGGGAATGTCTATAATGTCTCTCCTATGAATCTGCAGCACACGGGACCCAAAAAAGCACTGGGAAGGAAATCTGCTTTGTAAGTCTCCCGAATATTCAGCCCAAATATACATTAAATAAACGATGTCTCAATAGTTTTAAACATCAGACGCTCCTCTGGAGGAAATTCCAGCTCCAGGAGCACACATTGGGATAGTTTATAGCCCGTCAGGGAACACTGTCTGCACCAGAAACCCCAAAGCAACATGGAACAGGCAAAACTGGGGGTCAGGATGCTGCTTATCCCTCAGGAAACGCTGGGATAACGGGGCTGGAGTCACCCAGAACGTCCTGGCACGGCTGTCAGTGCTCAGGATCGTATCCATGGGGAGATTCTGGGGATGTGGAGATGCCAGATTCCTCCTGTGGGAGCTCTGGCACTCAAGGGACACCTCAAGGGCTCCCAGCCCGGGCTCAGCCAGGATGAGGCAGCGTTTTCCACGCCAGAGTGAGCAGGGATCAAACCTGGACCGGCCCCTTCTACTGCGGGAAGCACACAAGGAGAGGGAACAGGATGAGGACAGGCACATGGCACTGCCACTGGACTGCCAGGGAAGGGAAGTGCTGAGGATGGGGGTTGTGGAGAGCAGCTGGGGACACTGCTCCTTGTGAGCCCAGCACGTCCTGAGCCCCCAAACCCTTCCCTGAAAACTGAACTGCTCCATCTATCCACGTTTCTATGGGGCTGCCCCAGCCCTGGAAGTGTCCAAGGCCAGGCTGGATGGGGCTTGGAGTGACCTGGGACAGTGGAAGGTGTCCCTGCCCATGGCAGGGGGGTGGACTAGTTAATGTTTAAGGTCCCTTCCAACCCAAACCATTCCAGGAAGGACAATGACCTGCTGGAGCGAGGCCAGAGGAGGCCACAGGGATATTTCAAGGGCTGGAGCACTTCTCCTATGAAAAAAGGTTGAGTTGGGATTGTTCACCTGGAGAAGAGAAGGATCTGGGGAGACTTTAGAGCCCCTTCCAGGGCCTAAAGGGGCTCCAGGAGAGCTGGAGAGGGACTGGAGACAAGGGATGGCAGGACAGGACACAGGGAATGGCTTCCCATTGCCAGAGGTCAGGGATAGATGGGATATTGGGAAGGAATTCCTGGCTGTGAGGGTGGGGAGGCCCTGGCACAGGTTGCTCAGAGAAGCTGTGGCTGCCCCTGGATCCCTGGAAGTGTCCAAGGCCAGGATGGATAAACTTGAAGCAACCTGGGATAGGGGAAGGTGTCCCTGCCCATGGACTGGATAAGTTTTAAGTCTCTCCCAACCCAAACCATTCCATGACCGACACAGACCCGCTGGAGTGAGTCCAGAGGAGACCATGGAGATGCTCCCAGGGCTGGAGCACTTCTATGAGGAAAGGCTGAGAGTGTTGGGATTGTTGTGCCAGGAGAAGAGAAGGCTCTGGGAAGGCTTTAGTGCCCCTTCCAGGGCCTAAAGAGGCTCCAGGAGAGCTGGAGAGGGACAAGGAGTGACAGGACAAGGGGGAATGGCTTCCCACTGCCAGAGGGCAGGCTTAGATGGGATACTGGGAAGAAATCATTCCCTGGGAGGGTGGGGAGGCCCTGGCACAGGTTGCCCAGAGAAGCTGTGGCTGCCTCACCCCTGGAAGCGCCCGAGGCCAAGCTGAATAAACTTGAAGCCACCTGGGCTAGGGGAAGGTGTCCCTGCCCATGGGGTGATCCCGATGGTCCCTCCCCAGCCCTGCCACGTCCCGGTGCCCACCCAGGGGCTCTCACCAGTCGGGGGCTGCCCGTAGGACGTGGCGTAGGCCGTCTGTCCGTAGGTGGCCGTGCTCTGGGGCTGGGTGTAGCTGACGTCCGCGGGCTGCCCGTAGGTCCCGTAGCTCTGCTGCCCGTACGTCTGCTCCGGAGGGGACACAAAGCCAAATCCATGAATCCAGTGGGAGCACCAGCGACCCATGGGAGCCAAGACAACCGAGAGCCAAGCGGGGCAGGTTTAGGCGCGGTGGGAATTCCGGCCCGGCTCCGCGGTGAGGTTACACAGCGGGTTTATCCCCTGCCGGGATTTGGAGGGAAGGGAGGCTTTGCCCCCCTCACCACGCACTCCCCTGCCCTGTGCAAAGCAAACTTGGAAGCTCCCGGCTCTTCCCGACTGCCTGGGCACCGCCAGGGATCCTCCCGGGGTTAACCTGGAAGGTGGGAGTGGGGCACTAAGGAAAACAAGGCACCTTTAGTGTTTGCTGGAGGAAACCTGTTTAAGGGTTTAATTAAGATAATCTTCATGCCCAGCAGGTGTTTCTTTGCAAAGGAAGAGCTGGTGTGGGCATGGAAGGATGGGATCTGCAGGAACACCCCAATTATCCACTCCCATCCTGGTGTCCCTGCATCCACTCCCATCCCGGTGCCTTGGCATCCGGTGAGAGGGATCAGCTCTGAACTCATCCCTTCCCAGAGGTTATTTTCCAACCTAAGTCCCGAGTGACTGATGGAAGGACAGGGCCCAGCCCTGCAGTGCCACCAGCTGTCCCGTGCCATGCCCTGCCAGCTCCCGCTCCGGGCACCGGCCTCCTGCCAACCTCCTTCCAACGGCTCCTTCCCGAGCTCTGCTTCCACGGGCACGGCTTTAACCTCCACATTCCCACGGGATTTAGGCCTCTGGGAGCCTGGAGCTGAAACCTTTTGGGGTGTTCAGCCTCCCTGACCTGGCCTGAAGCAGGAGCAGGAGAGCCTTGACCGTGGGAATACGGCACTGCCCCTGGAATGTCGGTACGGGAGGCAGGAATGCTGCAAACGAGCCCAGAGATGAGCTCAGCTCGTTAGGGGCTTAATTAGCTGGGTTTAGGGGTTTAATTACCTGGTTTAAGGTGTTTAACTAGCTGGTTTTAGGTGAGTTGAGCTGATTCTAGGTGCTTAATTAGCTGCTTTTAGGTGTGTAATTAGCTGGGTTTAGGCAAGTTTAGCTGGTTAGGTGTTTAATTAGCTGCTTTTAGGTGTTAATTTAGCTGCTTTTAGGTGTGTAACTAGCTGGTTTTAGGTGAGTTTAGCTGATTCTAGGTGTTTAATTAGCTGGCTAGGTGTTTAAGTAGCTGGTTAGGTGCTTAATTAGTTGCTTTTAGGTGTTTAATTAGCTGGGTTTAGGTGTTTAATTGGCCGGGTTTAGGTGAGTTTGGCTTGTTAGGTGTTTATAGTTAGCTGGTTTTAGGTGAGTTTAGCTGATTCTAGCTGTTTAATTAGCTGCTTTTAGGTGTGTAATTAGCTGGTTAGGTGTTTAATTAGCTGGCTTTAGGTGAGTTTAGCTGATTTCAGGTATTTAACTAGCTGGTCAGGTATTTAATTAGCTGCTTTTAGGTGTTATTTTAGCTGCTTTACGTGTGTAATTAGCTCGGTTTAGGTGAGTGCAGCTGGTTAGCTGCTTAATTAGTTGCTTTTAGGCATTTAATTAGGTGGTTAGGTGTTTAATTACCTGGTTTAAGGTGTTTAGTTAGCTGGTTTTAGGTGAGTTGAGCTGATTTTAGGTGTTTAATTAGCTGCTTTTAGGTGTTATTTTAGCTGCTTTTAGGTGTGTAATTAGCTGGTTAGGTGTTTAATTACCTGGTTTTAGGTGAGTTCAGCCGATTTCAGGTATTTAATTAGCTAGTTAGGTGTTTAATTAGCTGGTTAGGTATTTAATTAGCTGCTTTTAGGCGTTATTTTAGCTGCTTTAGGTGTGTAATTAGCTGGTTTTAGGTGAGTTCAGCTGGTTAGGTGTTTAACTAACTAGTTCAGGGTGTTTAATTAGCTGGCTTTAGGTGTTCAATTAGCTAGTTCAGGTGAATTTAGCTGGTTAGATGTTTAACTAACTGGTTTTAGGTATTTAATTATCTGGTTAGGTCTTTAATTAGCTGGTTTAAGTGAGTTCAGCTGGCTAGGTGCTTAACTGGTTGGTTTTAGGTGTAATTAGCTGGTTTAGGTGAGTTTAGCTGGTTAGGTGTTTAATTGGCTGCTTTTAGGTGTATTTAGCTGGTTAGGTGTTTAATTAGCTGCTTTTAGGTCTTCAATTATATGCTTTAAGGTGTTTAATTAGCTGGTTTAGGTGAGTTTAGCTGGTTAGGTGTTTAATT